ATTTGGTTGCCTGGGAGAGCGGGAGAGAAGGGCTGCGCGCGCATGGCACAACTAGGACTTCCTCTCCAGCGGTTCGGAGAGATGCACGGTGACCCGCGATTCCCTTCAGCGTTGCCCTTCCCGCCCCGAGAAGAGACGAGGCCGGCGGGCACCTTGAACTATCCCAGGGCACCGTCCACCGCAGGCTGCCCGCCGATGCATACCTTGCGCCCCTGGAAACCCAAGCTGTCATCATCCCACCCCGCGCTGCACCATCCCAGCCCACATGACAATATCCCACATTGCACCAGTCTGGTTATCGCGCAATACCCTCGCGCCCATCCCATCATAAACGACTGCCTCGCTGGTCCGAAAGGTGGTCAAGCATGCCATTCTCCCCCCTTCCTGCCCCCCCCCCCGCGCCTTCGGTCTGCAGACTGGGGTCGCCCGCAGCTCGGCGGCTCGAGACGAAGACCTGCGATCTGCTGGGGAACCGTGCCCATCAGCAGCTGCAATGAGCGACGCGCGGGAGAACGTGCCCTCCCTTGAGGAGCCGACCGACCTGCCATGCGGTCGCGGCGATCCCAGCAAGGCCCGATACGGAGCGTGGGGCCCCGAGAACGCTGACCAAGTCAACGTCTTGGTGACCTTTGAGCACGGGGCCAAGGTTGAGGTCGCACATCGTCGTCCATCCTCCCATTCTCGCACGTCGGTCAGTTTCCTGGTTGCGAGTCACTGCCGCCGCCCTCCCCGCTGCCCTCCGCGCTTGCGAGGTCATGCCGGGCGGCCGCAAGCGCGGCCTCTGCGGCCGCAAGGACACGGAGTTGGACCATGTCTTCGCGGAGGAGTGCTTGCACTGGGGGCTCAAACCGACTGGGCTGAAGAACCGCGGCGCCTACTGCTTCTACTGCATGCGTGTGCACGCAGGCTTTGCGGGGCGACTCGGGCCCCGTGCATGTCGTCTCCTTCTCTCCCCGCGGCACCGCCTCAACGCCTTCTTTGGCGCCCCGTTGCCCTCCGACTTTTCACGCGCCCTCTTCTTCCCCTCCTCCCCCCTCAGCCCCCGTGCACTCCACCGCCGCCTGTTCACTCTGCATCCGCGATTCCACCTCTGCATCCCCTCCCCCCCTTCAGCTCGCGCCCGCTGCCCCTGCCCCTGCCCCCCCCCCCCGCCCAGTTGGTCTCAGTGGCCCGGGGTGGAGAGCGGGGCAGTCTAGGACGCGATGGTTCTTGGAATCGAGTGAGGTGTCTGAGCAGGAGAGTGGTGAGAGAGGCCACGTGGATAGTTTTTGTATGAGCACCCCGCGCAGGCTTCTATCAGGACCAACAGGCCACCTGCACCCCCGTCCTGCTGGCGCAAGTCATTGGATCTACTCGGGAGACATGCGATGAATTTTCCACTCGTCGTAATGAAGCCGTGAACTACTTCGTGTCTCAGAGTGCCACTCGCGGGGTCAGAGTTTCTTGGGCGGATGCCCAGGATAAGGTTGAGTCGTGCAAGAAGCGCGAGGTACAGACAAAACGGGCGCCAAATCGCATATTACTCCTGAGCGACTATCACACTGCATACGGCGACCCACACAGTAATGGAAAAGGGCACCAGGTGATTATACATCACGGACATCAGTGCGCGCGGATTTCAAGAGATAGCTTGAGCGGGAAGAATCAGACATAGGGACTCAAGGAGTCGTCAGACGGCGCGTGCATCACACATCGCCATCATCGATCTTCGAAGGCCAGCTGGATCGCAGCTTCGCCAGCTTGACGTCGAGTCTGTCTGCTGCCTTGTCGCGGCCAACAGGTAAAGAAGCGCCCGGCATCTTTGCCGAGGCGGGCGGTGCCCCGCCCGCGGCCGGGGCCCCGCCGCCCGCTCCGGGAGTTGCGCCGGCGCCAGCAGGGCAGGCGCCCCCGAACGTCTTCGGCGGCTTCCAGGCCGCGTTCATCCCAGTCACGGTGCCTCAGGGCCCAGCGGAGCCCGCCCCCTCAGCGTGCCAGGCGAAGCCGAAAGCTCAGATGGGCAAGCCAAAGGCACAGCTGCGGACTGGCCGAGCACCCAGCAGCCAGTCCGACTCCGAAGGCGGGGCGCGCAGGCCCGCGGGGCGTCCGCGCGTGAACCGACGCCGGACTTCGATGACTCACCTGAGGGAGTTCCGCGAGTCCAACCAGGATGAGAAACACGTCGCCGCCCCGAACTTCCGCAGACAGATGGGGAAGGCGCTGAGCAATTTCGCTCACACCATCGCGCCCCCCCAGCAGCTGGAGGACGAGGTGAAAGCTGCCCATGAGAGAGGCCATACGGACGTGGAGCTGCACGCAGACAGCGACGAGGTCCAGGCTCTCCGCAAGCATGGGCAGGAAGCGGCCAACATTTCCAAAGCGTGAGCCACAAATTCTACGTTCGACAGAGTTTGCGAGGGCGCACCGCATGTCCTTGACATTTTTAGCGACTCCTCCAGTCGCCGAGGTGTCATTTCCAGACTGGATGCTCCAGGAGTGCATCGCGAAGCAAGTGGAGGCACGAGTGCGAATGACCCGTTGACGCCCTAGATGTTAGCGTCGCCCGACTGCCCCGTTCGCCCGCGCCTTCCCCCCCGTCGAGCCCAGCCGCTCCAGCAAGGCGGGGCTCGTCGGGTGTCTTCGAGTGGCAGCGCGGTCAGTCTCGGCGTCGACCGTCATCTGCGGGTGGTCGACGGTCATCCGGATTAGGCCGCGACCCCTGATGATGCTATGTGGCGCGTTTTGGAGCCGGCGAAACTGTCCGAGGCGGGCTTCCCGACGCCAGCTTCGCAGACGTCGATGATCATTGACATGGTGAAAAAAGATCAGCATGCTCGCCCAGGGCAGCGTTGACTTCGTGCGAAAGGATCTGCTTCGGCTGGCGTCCACGGCGCCGTCGTGGGCAGACGCGGCAGCGACGGCGGACATGAACGCGCTGAAGGCTGCCATGGGCGTGCTGCAGGAGGACGCGCTACTGGATGCTGTCGAGATTGAGAGCGCCGGGGAGGCCTTGGCAGGTATCCTGCGCAACCGCTGGCCCATGGCTGGGTCGGCAGCGCAATGGCCGAGCGCCAAAAAGCTCCTGCGCGATGCGGGGGATGCTCTGGCGGGCTTCACGAAGGGCCTCGAGTTGTCCAAGCGGGCGAAGGCTCTCCTGCGGCAGGCGACCGAGAGTGCGAAGCAGGATGAGACGGCGAAGATGGACTTGCGTTTGCGCCTCTCCAGCACTTTGGGCGATTTGAAAGGGGCATCGGCCGTTCTGGAGCAATCGTCGCCGCTGTCCGAGAGGTACTTGACCACCGAAGACGTTGACACGTCGATGTTCAACTACTGCGTGATCGCTGGGGATTTGGTGTTGGATATGTGCACGGATCGGCGCTCTGCCCGTCCTTCTCCTTTCTCCGCTCCACCTCCGTTTCCAGGTCCTCCTGCTCCTCCTCTTTCTCCTTCTCCTCCGCCCCCTCCGCGCCCATCCCCGCCTCCACCTCCTCAGCTCTTCCTGCTCCTCCCTCCCTCCCCATTCAGCCCCCCCCCCTGCCCCCCCCCCCCCTCCTCCGCCCTTCCTGCTCCGGCCCCGCCCAACCCCTTCCACATCCCTGCTCCTCCTCAGCAACGCCCCTCTCCTCCACGTCATCCTCCTCCTCATCCTCCTTATCCTCATCCTTCTCAGCCTCCTGTTGCCCTCCCTTGCTGCGACTGCCCGCTGCTGCTGCTGCCGGGAGCTCGTCAACTCGAGCATCGGAAGGATGGATTGCCCTCTCGAGGAAGCGCATTGGGAAGACCGGCAGTGGGCTACTGGGCATCAGCTCGTTACTGAGATGATCGCGGCCATGGCTACGCTTCCAAGGCTGTCCACCAAGATGAGGGAGGTTGAGATCGACGGCTACCAGCGCACTGCTACATTGGTCTCTGAGTCGTTGGATATGTTGAGGGTATTCCACCTTCGCCAGGACCCTGCCACGGCGATCTCCCAGGTGCCCGAATATTTGGACAAGATGCGCGGGGAGATCGCCGACTTACTTGAAGTCTTCCTGGGTGGCCACTCCGTCTTCGCGGCCATCACCGCGCTGCAGGAGAAGATCAAAGCGTCGCCCATGTTCGCCGACATCTCGGCCATGCTCAGCAATAGGCTTGTCGATCGCATTCAGATGTTCGCTCGCATCGCGAACGGCGTGATTTTCCTGAACTACCCGAGCGATGCATTCTGGCAAAGTGCGCGGGCTGATGCGATCTGCACCCGGAACGACATCATCGGCGAGGGCTGTCTCATCTGCGGTTCTGGATATGATGCGACGTTGACTCAGGATGCCGTCCAGGCATTTGAGCACGCCGCGGATGCCGCGCGGCATGCTAACGATGGGCTCCGTTGGCGCATCGGGGCCATCACAAGCATCGGGCGGGCGTGGCTGCGCGCAGTGCCGTTCATTAAGCGCCCCCCTGGACTTCGATCAGCCCGCGGCGCGGGCGTGGCTGCAAAGCCGGGGCGCCTTGGACAAGCTAGTCACCACGGTCGATCACATGTTCCGTGCCTGTGACCTTTTCCGACTGGGACTTGGAGTTGAAACAGCCAGGAGGATGAGGATGGGGAGGCGGGGGGGAGGAGGAGGTGGGGGGGGGGGGGGAGGGGGGGGGGCGAGGGGAAAACGTCGAGCCCAGGAAGCGCAACGGCCGACGCAGACTGGATGGAGGAGGAGGGCGCGCCAGCGAAGGATGAGACGAGCAAGGGCGGATGGATGGAGGGATATTGGGGGGGGGGGGGGGCGGGGGGAACGTGGGGGAGGGATCGCTCGATGACTGGCGACGCGGTAGATTTGGGGGCCCTTCGCTGGGCTGCGCGGGGGGGGGCTGAAGAATCGCTGGAACAGGTTGCCCCCCCCCCCGCCCCCCCGCCCCCGCGCCTCCAAGTCTCGGACATGTTTATGTGTTGCATGGGGTTCTGCGAGTTGCAGCGCTGGGGGGTTCGGGCTGGACCTCTCCTTCCGCTCTCGCGCACCTCGTGCGCGGGTCCCCGACGGGACTTCAAGGGCCCGCACTTCGCGCAGAACATCGAGACATGCTTCGCAGCCGTTGGCGCGTCGCAGCTCGACATCTTCGACGGGCTGCCGATCCCGAGAGCCATCCGGGATACTTTGGTGTCGTTGGACGGCGCGCTGCAGGAGTCGAGGGCCCGCTGGTTGGCCGGCTTCGATCAGGCGCTCGCCCAGATCATGAGTTGGCAGCCGTGCTGGCGCCCAGTCGCCGAGCAGCTCCTCGCGAGCCCACCCCGCCCCATGACGCGCGAACTGGGCGGCAACACAGCGCTGAAACAGCTCGTCCAGCTCTGTTCCGACATGGGCGCCCGCCTGAAGCTGGCGCGGCGCGCCCTCGGCGTCGTCGACCCCAGCGTGCTCGCGAAGCTCGAGGCTGGTGCACAGGGCGGCATGGTGACCATCTCCTTGACGCACGCGTTGTTTTCTATGAAATACGCGCTCAAGCAGCTCAAGGGCCCGAAGAAACTCAAGGCTGCGGGCTGAAGATGGCCACGAGAACGAGGACGAGGATGAGGATGGCGACGCAGATGAGGGGGGGGGGGGGGGCCCTGGCACCAAGCAGCAGCGGGGCGAGAACATGCGGAGAGCGATCACGAGATAGAGGGGGCGAGGGAGCGAGAGCACGCCGAGGAAGCGTTTCCGGAGAGGGACTGGACAGGAGGCGGAGGAGGAGGAGGCGCGGGAGGAGGCGGCGGGGTTGGAGGAGGAGGAGGAGGAGGAGGAGGAGGAGGAAGAAGAGGCAGGAAGGAGGCGGGCCTGGCCCCTGGCGAGGAGGACCTGGCTCCTGGTGAGGAGGATGCACACGAGCAAGAGAGAACCCCCCCCCCCCTCGCTGCCACCCTTCAGACCGCGGCCGAGAAGCTGAAACTCGATCAGGAGCAGAAGGGGGCGTGGAATGCCCTCCCAGCCTGCGTCACCGAGGCATTGACCAAGGGCGGGGTCATCTTAGAAGTCGGCGCGGACGAGGTCCCCACGGACGCGTTTGCTGCGGGCGCTGGCGCTCTCAAACCTCGCATTCTGCACGTGGCGCAAAGACGCGCCGTCGAGATTCGATGTTTCCAGAAGCGCCCCCCGATCGCCAAAATGATGAAGCTTAGACAGGGTCTCGCGCGGAAGCAACATCGCAATATCCATCAGCTGCTCTGTTTCAGACTTGGGGTCCCAATCCCTCACCTTGCAGCGATGCAGCGAAGGCCGCCGCTTCTTTAAGGATTGGCGCCTGAATCTCCTGGCAGCGCTTTTCATGCCCGACGTGGTCTCAGAGGTCTGCAGGTCGGCAACGCATGTCGCAGACGCAGAGACGGCGTCATTTATCAACTGAACACCGCGCTGCCCGCTGATCACGTTGCTGCTGATCGGGTCCTCCACGTTCGCTCTCAGCCGCCTCTGCGGTGGCAGCAGCAGCCTCTCGTAAGGCAACTTACGCTTGGAAAGCATGCCAACGGCCCTCGAGCCCCCCCGCGGGAGGCGAGTGCGACTGCGGATATGCCTGGGGCCAATGCTACGGAAGCGAACGGATGAGCATCTCTTTGCACCGCGCCCCTCCTGGAGGGGATCCTTCAATCCCGCGGCTCCGCCTCCTCAGCCGCGCGACCTTCCGCCCCCCCCCCACCCCGTCCTCCACCCGCCGCCGCCGTCTGTCCTGCCCTCCTCTCCTGCAATGCCTCCATTCGCGTGGCCGCTGATGTCCGACGCACCCCTCCACCCCCCCCTGCGGCGAAAGGATTTTTCGAACCGGGGCAAGCAGAGAAACGCGCGGCCCCTCGCGAGGGGGACCTCTGCGGGAAAGAATAGTGGCGCGTTATGTATTTGTATGTGTCGACGCACAAGTTGCAATGAACGTGATAGCTGTGTCGGGCGAGGCAGTACTTCCCACCCTACATATGGAAGTAACCGTGGATATGTATCGAGGCCCACAGATCAGTTGAGGAACTTCTTGAAGCGCTTGAGCGACAGCTGAATTCCCTCGCACAAGTGCTCCATCGTGCTGTGGGCGGCAACGGCCTCGCCCGTCAGCTTCACGTACATCTCCGTAAACTTGCCGACAGAAGCAACATTGTCAATTTTGGCAATGAGGATCTCCATTTTCGTCTCGTGGCCATCCGCATTGTCCACGCACTTCTTGCATTCAGCCGCCCAGTTCTGGAACTGAGTGCGGCCCGCTTGATCCTGATCCCCAGCCTTCGCGAGCAACTGGTTCTTCGTGCGTTTCAACTTCTTGAGCTGCTTCTGATACTTGAGGAGCGTTGACCTCAGCAGGGGACAAACGACAACGTCCGCATTGATGAAACAAACGGGCGACCCCCTCCAGGAGGGGCACCATGCGAGACGGAGGAAACCACTCCCCATCAGCGAGGGGTCTGGCGGAACAGAAGAGGGGCAAGTGCCGAGGGAGCGGCTGCCGAGGGCCGCGCGCGATCTCGTCCTTCTCGCCGACGATCTGTGGCCAGCGCGGGTTATCGAGCTTCACCTCCCCCTCCGCCGGCCCAGCAGAGCTGGGCGAGGGAAGCTGAGCCATCCTGGGGCCCGCGGCTTCGAGCTACTTCATGTTCTTCAAGTTGGATGATCCCTTGAAGGTGCGCGAATCCTTCGCCGCGAGCTCGTCATCGCCCATGTTGCGCACCACGAAGTACCATTGCTTCCAAAGAGGCCTCTTCTTTCCATCTTCCATTGCAGGATATTCTTCTGCGGTGCCATGCTCAGCGCTATTCTCCTCCCGCCTGTCCTGCGCGAAGGCCATGGCCTCGATGTTCTCAAGATCTCTGATGCTGAGGCTCTTCAGAGCCAGCGCCTGCGATGCCTTCTGGTACCCCCTCTTGCTGGACCGGGCGTGCACCTCCTCGTTCGCGCAATTCTCTTCGAAGGTGGCCATCCAATCTAGCGTCTTCCCCTCATCACTTGCGATGCTCTGCAAGAAGCGTTTCCGATCGCTTGGGTCTTTCACCCCGTTCCACATGGCCTGCGCTGCTTGGGCTGACTCTGCAGTGGACGAAGGTTTGCCGTCGGCGTCCCCCCTCTCGGACTGGTAGCGGAGCCACGCCCTCATTGTGTCGGCCTCGACCTCGTCGAGCCCGCTGCCCTTCGGAGCGGCCTTCGATTTCTTTGCCGCTGCGGGGCCCGGCTTGCCATCGGTCTTCTTCTTCGGGGCCATGCTGCGCAACGACGCGATGAGAGCGCCCATTAGGGGCAGAGGGGCGACGTTGGCAAGGCCGCACATGGCTGCCGCGAGCGCAAACGCACCCAGCACATGCACTCGCGAAAGCTTCGGCAAGCCCGATTGCCTTGCAGCTTCAACAGCTGCGAACGAATTGCAAGTTCATCGTCGCCGTCGTCGGCGTCGTCGAGGCACCCCCCCAAAGAGGGGTTCGCCCCTCTCCCCCTCAAGGGGTTCGACGCCCTCGCGGTCGTCTCCTCCCCCTCCCAGATGGGTCGTTTCATCGCTCATGGGGGTGCGGGTTCCCCCGCAAAGGGGTAGCGCGTTCCTTCAAAAAGGAATCCAATCCCCTTGCGCTCCTTCTCGCAAGGGTGGACCCCCCCCCTCCCCCCTCCCCGGCCAGGGGTCCGTCATGGCTGCGTCGCGCTCCGCCCCCTTTCAGAAATGATCACCTGCCCCTCGACAATTGTTCTCAGGGGGTTGGCCCCAGATCTGGACCCCGCTGCAAGCGCATCATGCAGGAGAGAATTCTCTCAAGAGAACTTTCTTGAGAGAACTCTCTTAAGAGAATCGTTGGCTTCGCCTGAGACATCCCCACAATTCTATTTAAACAATTCTCTTAAGAGAACCCTCTTAATATAATCCCTCCTTAATAGGATCGGCATGGCCTTCAAGTTGCCCCTCTGACAGGGGCTGCCGCGCGTTCCCCTGCGATGAAGGGCGTGCAATTCTGATCGCGTCTTGTTCTGTTCTGGCGCGAGAGATCGCACTCCTGTATATGCGTGCATGGGCGTCGTCGGCCGAGGGCGCGCCGACCTCAGAGCTCAGCGCCCTGGGGCGGATGAAAAGACAACACATGTGAAATAAGCAGCGAGGGTCGGCAACAGCAGGAAGCACGGCGATGGAGGCGCTGGCGACGAGCAGGAGCAGGGGGAGGGGGCGACAAGGACGATGATGAGAAAGTGTCCTCGCTCTTCTTCTGCCGCTTCGACCCCGAGCCCCTGCTCTTGTCTTCGTCTTTGTCCTCGTCCTCTCTGCGCGCCTTTTTTGCCGGCTTCTCGATTTGCGCCTCGTCCTCTTTGCCTTTTTTTTGCTGCCCGCTGCTGAGCTGCTGCTTCCTCACCTGCTCGCTGCTGAGCTGCTGCTTCCTCGGCTTTTGCTGCCCGCGCCGCCGCTTCCTCGGCTGCTCGCTGCTGAGCTGCTCGCTCCTCCGCGGCCTTCGCTGCTGCCGCTGCCCTCGCGGCCTTCGCTGCCTGCGCTGCTACTTCGGCATGCTCGGCTCGCTCGGCGGCCCCCGCTGCTTCCTGGGCCGTCTTCTCCGCTTCCTCTCTCAGCGCGGCTTCCGCCCTCAATCTCTGTTCCGCCTCCGCCCTCAGCGCATCATTCCGTAGCTTTTGTTGTAGCCGCCTCTGGCGGGCGATCACTTGCTGCGCTCTCATCTCTGTTGCCCGCCTCACGCGTTCCTCTCGCGCTTGCAATTGCCCCGCAGCCGCTCCCGCGATCTGCAGTTGCCGACGGAGCCTCGCGCGACGGGCCTCCAGCTCTCGAATCAGCCTGCGACGCTCGTCGTCGCCTCCCTCTTCCGCGTCTTGCCCCCCCGGCCCCCCCCCCTCTTCGGGGCTCGTTTCCTCGCAGTGCTCTCCTTCAGAGGATTCGATATGTTCAGCCTCTTCCTCATATTCTCCCGCGCGCGTTTCTGCTGCGGGCGGTTATGCTGCTGCTGCTGTCGTTGCTGCGGCTGCTGCTGCTTTTCCTCCTGCAGCTGCGTCGGCTGCTGCTGCTGCTGCCGGCGTTGCCTCGGGTGGAGGAAACGGCGGTTGCCTCGGCTGCGGCGGATGCTGCGCTCCTCCTGCGGCGTCGCCCATCTCCTCGGGGCGCAAACGATAACTGCCCCCCTCACGAGAAGGGCGCCTCTTTGCGTTAACCCCCCCCCGCCCCACCCCCTCACGAGAGGGGTTTGTCCTCGCGTTTCACCCCTCGCACAGGGGATCGGAGGGGTCGACCCCTTCTTGTCCGCGCGGAGGGAAGGGGGGGGCGGTCCGTCAGCATGTCGAGCAGCGCGTTCTCCCTGCGATCGCATCTGCGCTGCCAGCGCCTTCAGGGTGTAGAAATAGCATGGGCGAAACAAAAAATCAGAACGTCAAACTTCAAAAACAAACAATCTTTCCACGCTGAGGGCCCTGTAGATCCCCGCCCCCTCATTGGGGGGCGTTTCGCCCTTGAGTCGCCGTGCTCTGTCCACTTCGCTTTTGCCGCCGCGCCACCTCCTCCCGTTGCGGTCTTCACCCCCCCTCTCGTGGAACCAGCGGGCGGCGCGGTGCTCTTGGCA